GAGGGACAGCAACCCGGTCCCTGGCTCAAAAAGGTTGCCTACCCCTGAACTAGACTGATGTCAAAAGGCAGTGGTGACACTTGCCTAAAGCAAGCTACATGGGAGGTTGGGTTCATTGATCAAAGAAGTCAAATATAACACTTTCCTCCCCCTCAGATTCTCTGTACCTAGAATTTTGACCAGCTTTCTTGCATGCAATTTAAATTCCTGGTAAGCTCAATTTTCGTTTTATAAAATAAAACAAGGCTCCTGCTCTTTCTTGTGTTTTGTTGTATGGTTGAAAATGTGCAGGCAGTATCTACAAAAGGATCCTAGACCTTACATAGCGAATGGTTTTCTTTGCTCTCGGTCACCAGATAATTCTCTCACATAAGAACTTTTTCTCCTGTTATTCGTCTGTTTCCTTGAGACTAACCAGCTGCTAACTAGTTTTATACAATATTCAGTGTAACACTGCAATACTTTGTACATCTGATCACTGTATTTATTATTTTAGATAAAAGAAAGTTAAATATAGGTATGTTATGCAGATACTGTAGGTCAGATCTAATTCAGTTTGCCCTTTGGGCACTGATGACCTCCAATCACCACTTTTAAGTGAAAGGATATTAAAATTTATGGATGCTGTCTTAGAGTACAGTAGACTTCAAATAATAAGTTGGATACTTGAAAGCTATTCAACCATTTAAATTTTAAGAATGGCTGTAAGAATATGTGAAACTTCCATTAAATAGCATATCAGAAAATATTAATTAAGCATGTCCAAATATTTTTTAAAAATTATGTAAATCACATCTGTAGTGTTGGATTGTGTTGTATCCCAGAGACCAGTACTGCACCTGTACTGCAGAATTAATGCAGCTTGACACCACTTTAACTGCCTGGCTTAATGCTATGGAATCATGGGACTTGTAGTTTTGTGAAATATTTAGCCCATTTCTGTGAGATAGCTCTGGTGCCACAATAAACTACAAATCCCAGAATTCCATAAGATGCAGAGTAAGACCAACTGTTGGATGCTTTTTTTAAAATCATGATTTTAATTAACATCTCCTGTGCAGTTTTGATGACCAAAAATGAATAATACCAATCTTCCACTTACTATTTTTCAGATACAGATGAGTGCCTGCTTAATAATGGAGGATGCCAACATGTCTGTGTCAACACAGTGGGCAGCTATGAATGTTGTTGTAATGATGGATTCTTCCTCAGTGATAACCAACATACCTGCATTCACCGTTCAGAAGGTAAAACCTATCTTTTCTTTGATCAAGTAGCTTGGGTGCCTCTTTCTACTACTTCCCAAAGAATTCTGAATTAAGTTCTCTAGTAGATTTGCTAAGTGATTATTTTAACTTAATGTACTTCTGCATGTCAGCCTTTTGAGTCCTCTTGTAAAAAAGAACACAGTAAATGTTCTGTGGTAGAGCAGATGGGTTGCTGTACCATCTTCCAGGTTTCCCAGGTTTGGTCCCTGGCATTCCACATAGGGCTAGAAAAACTCCTGTCTACAATTTGGGCAAGCTGCTGCATCAAGACTATTGTGCTGAATGGACCAGTGATCTGACTATATAAAGCTTTATATGTGGGTCTTTTAACAAATCCTGCTAGGTATGCTGGAAATTTACTGAAAAATTCTCAAATGCCTGATTTGTATGTGACACTGGATATCTAATTCACAACAGCTTCCAGATTTAGAATGATAAGAGTTGGAAGAGACCAGAAGGGCCATCCAGTCCAACCCGATTCTGCCATGCAAGAGCTGAAAATCAAACCATCCCTGACAGATGGCTGTCCAGTCTCTGTTTAAAGACCTCCAAAAGAGGAGACTCTACCACTCTTCAAGGAAGTGTGTTCCACTGTCAAAGAGCTCTCACTGTCAGGAAGTTCCTCCTAATGTTCAGGTGGAATCTCTTTTCCTGTAGCTTGCATCCATTGTTCTGAGTCCTGTTCTCTGGAGCAGCAGAAAACAAGCTAGCTCCCTCCTCAATATGACATCCCTTCAAATATTTAAAGAGGGCTATCATAGCCCCTCTTAGCTGTCTCTTTTCCAGACTAAACATACCCAGTTCCCTAAGTTGTTCTTCATAGGGCATAGTTTCCAGACCCTTCGCCGTTTTAGTCCCCCTCCTCTGGACACCCTCCCTTTGGGTTCGGTCAGTCAACCAATTACTAATCCACTAAACAGTTGTATTGTCTAGACCACATTTTACTATCTTGTTTGCAATAATATCATGCGGGACCTTGTCAAAAACCTTACTGAAATCAAGATATGCTGTGTCTACTGCATTCCTTTCACCTAGCAAGCTGGTAATTTTATATATATATAAAAAAGAGATCAGATTAGTCTGGCATGACTTGTTTTTGAGAAACCCATGTTGACTTTTAGTGATTATGGCATTCCCTTCTAAATGTTCACAGACTCTCTGTTTAATGAACTTTTCTAGAATCTTTCCCAGTATTGATGACAAACTAACTGGACGATAGTTGTTGGGATCCTCTTTTTTCCCCTTTTTGAAGATGGGGACAATGTTTGCTCTCCTCCAGTCTGCTGGGACTTCTCCTGTTCTCCAGGAGTTCTAATAAATAATAATAATAAAATTTATTTATATCCTGCCCCTCTGAGATCAATCGGGGCGGCTTACAGTCTTAACAATTCTCAAAGATTATTGCCAGTGGCTCTGAGATTACATTTGCCAGTTCTTTTAATATCCTTGGATGCAGTTCATCTGGTCTTGGAGACTTAAATTCACTTAGGTTAACCAAATATTCCTGTATTT